AGAAATGACAGCCCGGACCAGAGGGCTGATTACCTTGGATTCCCTGTTCAACCCCTGGCCAATATCCCTGGCTTATCGACCGGGCTACCCCTCAAAAAAAGAAGATCAAGCAGTTCAAGCCCGACGGGGAGCAGGAAGGAGAAGAGAAGACATCTACCGCAACAACAACAACAACACAGCCAGGGACACCATTCGGTGCCGAGCAATCACTCGGGGAGCATTAGCCCGTTGGCCCAATGTTCATCTACTGGCCCTCAGGGATCTGGCTTATTCTCTTCGCTGCGAAATTTGGCGACAAGTAGCAGTCCGGTAGATGACGTGAATTTGAGCGCCGAGCTGTTCTGGCTTCGGACACATGTGTCGAGCCATTGGAGTATGAAATGGTGGTGGAAGGTGGGCAGTTATGGAGATTTCCAAGTATCTCTCTCTCTCTCTCTCTCTCTCTCTCTCTTTCATTATCATTATTTTCCGCACTGAATTACCCGGGTAATCAATTTTTATAGCTCAAATAAGCTCTGCTAGCTTGCCCCTAGCACTAGGTTTTCCTAAATGGTCTCTGCTAGCTTGCCCGGTTTTCTGGTTCCTTACGGATCTCTGCTAGCCTACCCCGTCCTGTGGGCTTCTTAAAGGATTTCTGCCCGCCTACCGGTTTTTAAATGGTCTCTGCTAGCATGCCTGGACTCGGAATTCCAAAAGAATCTCCCCTAGTTAGCCCTTTTGTCTTCAACCTGCCTAAATGGTCTCTGCTAGCTTGCCCTCATCCATTTTCCAGCTGTCACCGTGCCTTTAAAACCGATGTTTTTCCGATCTTTACCCTTGTCAATTCAATTCCATTTCAATCCTATCCACCTCTCCTCCTCCCGATTTCCATTCATCGGTTCCCCTCTTCTCCATTAGCCCCCCATCTCTATTTAGATCTCGGCATTTCCGCCCGCCCCGACATTCCAGCTAAATAGCTCTCTCTCTCTCTCTCTCTCTCTCTCTCTCTCTCTCTCTCTCTCTCTCTCTCTCTCTCTCCCTTTCTATCGCTCTGCATAACATTCGAAAAACGCGGCCGGTTCTACCGCCCGCACCTCTGAAAAGCGCGCCAGTTCCGTGCACTCCCCCGGAACCCCACGCACGCGATTTATATTGTGGAAAACGGAAATGGGTGGAATCGGGGGTGTATTGCCCACCATCGGAATTTTTATCTAGTGTCACTGTGCCTTTAAAACGGCTTGAAAGCGAAACCTAAGCATAAGCCTAAGCCTAATCCTAGGCCTGTCACGCTCCCTTTAAACCATTCCGGAAAGCTCCTATTTACACTTTGGAAACTGCCGGAACTTTGCCCTCTGCTGGTCGTTTTACAACCCTGCTGTTTATCGCAAAAATTTTGGCACGGTTGGAGAGCGAGAGAGAGAGAGAGAGAGAGAGAGAGAGAGCCAGCTACCCCAAAAAATTTTGCTGTACCTGGGGATACTGTTTGCAGAGCAGTAGGAAAAACCGCAACGGGGAAACGCCAAAATTTTTGCTCGAACTCAGTCTCTAGTCTTATGCTCTCTCCCGGATTGGTCAGAATCGTACTAAGCGAGAGAGAGCGAGTGAGAGAGAGCGAGTGAATGAGAGCGAGACCCAACTCAAGCCCCCTAAACCCTGACCCGATTACCGTATCCCAAATTCCCCCGGGTCCGAAATTCCTTCCGGTCCTAGGTAAAAAACGCGACCCTGCCGAAAATAACCCTGTTTTCGCCGGAGCGCGGGTCCCACCCCGAATCGAGACGAAAATAGCGGGCCCTGAGCCGTAATTAGGCGCGTCTCGTCGTGGCTACTGGGCCCCCGAGGGCACAAATCCCGAAATTGGCAGCTATTTCGGGGGGAGTGAGGCATAGAAGTGGAGGGCTAAGAATAGTCTGGAATTATGAATTGATCGGGGGGAATTGTCATCTGGAGTCAGACGTACTTGTTGGGCTCGAGAAAAATGATTAAAGGGATGGTGACAGTTAGGTTTTTTGGGTCATAAATGGTGTCTGCTAGCCAGCCTTAACCTCTTAGATTTTCCTAAATGGCCTCTGCTAGCCAGCCATAAACCCGAATAATTTCCTAAATTGTCACTGTTAGCCTGCCTTCAATCCTAAGATTTTCCCAAAAGGTCTCGGCATGCTTGCCGCTTCCTCAAGAATCTTCGCTAGCTTGCCCAGGTTACTGAGATTTTCCTCAAGAACGTTTGCGAGCCTGCCTCGATCTTCCCAGATTTTCCTGAAGTATCTCTGCTAGCTGGTCCAGAAAGCTTTTTCTCAAGAATCTCTGCTAGCCCTCCTCAAGTCCCCTTAATCCACAAATTCCGCCCTAATTCCGTACATTCCTAGACATTGGCTTTTTCCATTCCCGAATCCATGTGAGGGGTTTTGGGCGAATGGTCGGACGTCATCCCCCCTCCCCCCACACGGTCTATCCGTCCAAACGGAGTGCCCCGGAAACTGACTGCACCAAGGCTATCATCATCCCCCCCCAACATCTCTCAACTCACTGCAGCACCAGAAAAAACACGTGTTTGGTGTTGGGGATCCTCGGGTGATCCGGGGGGAAATATTGATTTTTCGAATGGAATTGGGGAATTTAGCCAATTTGTGAGACACCTCCTTACTGCGCAAGTTCAGCGAGTACACCTATTCGTCCGAATACACCTACTTACGCAGAGATTGGCCGACGTACATAGGTGTATACGGAAACGATCGCTGAACTTGCGCTTTAAAATTGCGCTTCTTTTTTTAAACTTTCTTATTAAAGGAACGGGCAAGCGGCAACGCCAAAAAATCCATAACTATTCCTTGCCGGTCCCTTTAATGAGTATTTGCCAGTGGGAATACCCTTTATTTTGTTGATAAAATTTAACTGAATTTCAATTGCGGAAACTAGAACGAAAACCGGAAAAACCCTAAAAACTTAAAAATCCATTTTTTGTATTCTAAAAAAATTTAAAGTTTAAATTGCTTTTTAAGGTCTTGAGATAGTCTACAAAAGTACGACTAATAACACTTCCTCTTCAATATTTTAAAAATTAAATAAGGACAAAATTTCCGTCGTCCCCCTCCCCCCGGAAATACCAAAGAACCGGCACATTCCAAAAAATCCAAAAACATACCGGAACCCCCTTTTTCCCTACACCCACCATCACCTCCCACAAAAAAATGGGCAAATTGAGCCCTCTAGGGCCCTGGGGGGAGGGGCAGATTAGCCCCGTGAGGGCGGAAATCCTAATGAAGCCTCTTTCCGCCCCACGGCGCCAAATCCCGGGCCGGAGGCAGCCTATTTTTAGCCCCAGCCAGCCAACCAACCGGTGAATTATCAGAGGAGAAGGAGAAGAAGGAGAAGGAGGCTGTCGCTCGTTTTGAGAGCGTTGTGTGAGTGTGTGTGTGGATGGATGGGCATCTAATCCGTTGCCGCGAGAGATACAGCCAGCCCCTTCTACTCCTCACTACCTCTCTGGGCCCCCCATCCAAATACCCCTCCTGAGACGCACCTCATGGAATCTACCGGCTGGGGGATGGAGCTCTAGCTGTTGCTCCTCAACAAATTCACTAGTCCTACTCGATTTTTCCCCCATCAAAAATGGATTTACAAGGGCCGGCCGGAGAGGTAGGGAATTGCTTAGTGAGTACCAGCCTCTAAACGCTCACATTAGCGAGCACCAGCTTCAAAAATGAGCCCAAACTTATAAATAGCACTTCATAAAAATATAAAACCAAAGATGTCTATTTAAAAAGCGAATAAATATTTATTAAACCCGAAATTTGCCTAAAATCTAGCTCCTCGTGGTCCGAAGAAAAATTTTAAGATACCTCAATCTTTCACTTCCTGGCTACTAACCACACCAAATAACGCTCCAACTCCTCCGGGGGCCTAAACGTGATCTTCGCCTTCCCGTTTCCGCCTGGAAGCCCCCCTAGCCTCCAGAGACGCCCTTTCCTCGTCTTCCATGATCAAATCTCAAAAATCCGCTTCACTACACTCTACTAATCTTGAAAAAGTGAAAAAAACAGTTGGTTTTCTGCTCTAAGTAGCTATTACTACCCGTTTTTTGCCCCAACTATGCCCTAAAAGTATCTCTCTCCTCGCCCTCTGGTGCCCACCAATAATTGTGCAGAAGCGAGTGCACACTCCCCCACGTCGCTCTCTCTCTCTCTCTCCCATCACTCGTAAACGTTCTTCTACGCTGCCCCAAAACCCCCCAAAAATAGACGTCACGACGACGATGCGACGGGGAGGGGAGGGGAAAACGCACACGGGAGGGACGGGAGCCCAAACATTGCGAATCGCGGACCCGACGTCTTTCAGCACCACCACCACCACCACCAAAAACCCCCTCTCGGAACAGACCGGAAGCGAAAACCAACCAACACACCCAACTGAACGCGGGGGGGGATAGTCCACCGGGGGAAAGGGAGAAGCTTCCCGAATTTCGGAGCACATGAAATTGGAAAAGTGTTTTGAAAGAGTAAAATAGAGAATAGTTTGGGGAAAAATTGCTTTTGTAGGTGAAAAAAAAACGGAACAATGTATTTTCAAGAATAAATCAAGAAATTGCGAGAATTTGAAGCCCACAGTCGATTACGCGATTAAATCTAACCATTCCCGCGACGAACGCACAGGATAATTACGTGTTTGCGTACCTTCTCGTAGCCTCCTAGTCATCAGTGGAAAAATCGATTTCCAAAATCGTTTTAAAAGCAGATAAATCCAGAAATTATGAAAAATTGAAGCCCACGATCGATTCCGCGTTCTAAATCTGGCCGTTTCCGCGCCAACGCACAGGATAATTCCGTCTTTTCGTACTCTCTCGACCCCTTTCCTTACAAATTTTGTTTTCAACGTTCCGAGAGCGTATCAACTTAACCCCCGCGGTGACCGAGATGTGTCAATGCCTGAATGCCAGAGACGCCCCCATAAATGTTGATCATCATCTTGCACAAATAGCTGAACGTTTTGGGACGAAAAGCACCGAAATATGGGGCATACCCAGGATGGCCGCACCCAAAATTCCCTTATATCTGCGGATTCGGAAAAAGTTGTTGTCTTGGACACGTTGCGAGCATGGAGAAGCGGTCGGTCGGCTAGAGCTGCTTATTTTTAATAGAAAATACAGCTAAAACAGCTTTTTCTCTTGATACTTACAACTTTTTGGTACCTGGACGTAACTGGGGGTTTTCTGAGATAAATCGGCCGATGTTTCAAGCCAAATAACATTTTTTCCATTTCAGAACACAGCAACACTCGATGACTTTGACCGGATCAAGACGCTGGGCACCGGATCTTTCGGCCGGGTGATGCTCGTCAAGCACAAGGCGTCCAGCAATTATTATGCTATGAAAATTTTGGACAAACAAAAGGCAGGGTGTTTTAAAATAATACTTATTGATTAAATTAACAGTTGTAATGATCCTTTTTGCAGGTCGTAAAGCTGAAACAAGTGGAGCACACGCTGAACGAGAAGAAAATCCTGCAGGCCATCGATTTCCCCTTTCTCGTCAACATGACCTATTCATTTAAGGTAAGTCAGGGTTTAAAATGAAGGTTTTTACGGTATCCTGTTCCTTTATAACTATTTTTACGACTTTTATAACCGCTTACATACTTTTCATAACTTTCCTGCCTTTAAAAATTTAACATAACTCTTGATTTCAAGGTCGCTAGTATCCTGTTCCTTTATAACGAACATTCTAACGTTTATAACCTGTTTTTCCTCGCAAAAAACTTCCAAAACCTCGAAAGACGATTCCTTTCGAGCATTCCACCACAATCCTCCCATTTTCCTTTCATATCCAGATCACTTTCACCACCACTTCACGCCATATGTGGTGTTTGTCGTGGCCGGGGCGTGTGCGCGTTCCCGCATTCTATATTTAGCCCTCCCCAGTCGTCGCCGTTTTCTTTTTTCCAGGCTGCGCCCTCCATTTTTCTCGCGCTCGCTCCCCTTCTCCCAGCATCGATTTCCCCCGTCGCGTTTTTTGGTGGCGGTCGGCCGGGCGGCGCGCCGATCCTAAATTCGCTCCTCTCGGGCAGGGGCTTGGAAAAAAGGGGCTTTTCGGCCAGGGGACTGGCTTTATAGAGGTATCCCGTCGAGAATGTGTTTAGAATCTAAGCTCAGAGATTGCAGGTTGGATAAGCTTATCTGGTTGACAATTTTTGATTTTTCAATTTCAAAATTTCAAATTTCACACGTTTATCTGAATTTAGCTTGGCTTATTCAAATAAGAATATCTAGATGCAAATTCTTGGGTTTTCGAGCGATTGATCTTATTTTAATAAGCAGAAGTCAATTCAGGAATTTGAAACTTTGAAAAGTTGAAAGTAACAATTTTTGTAAGCGTATCCATGGGTGATTATTTCTATTTCAATTCAAAAATACCCTATTATTTTAATGGTTGCAACAGAATGTGTTATCTAAATCTTTACAAATTTATCTAAGCAACGATAAAATGAGGTTCAAATTCAAAAAGAATGAAAAGCAATTTTGTTGAAAAACCGGAAATGCCGCTCACATGTAGAGGTTGTCAGGTCACAAATTCCAAACCGGCTGAAAATTGGTGGAAAAATCGTATAAAATACGGGGAACACGATGCAATAAAAATTATCTGCTAATGGGCACTTTTGTTTAATAAACTTTTAATTTTAAGATTTTGTATGGAAAACCCACCTAAATCCCAGCGAGCCTGGCCAGAACCGGGGCGCGCAGGCGCGAGCTCTTGAAGCCTCCCCAAGCGGCCCTACCCGTCGGCCCGGTGGTGTAGGGGTAGGGTGCGGGGAATAGTAGGCCAAAGGTCATGGGTTCGGTTCCGGCATTTTTATTTTTTGCTTTTGCCGTTTTTGCTTTTATTTTGTAGGACGCGTCTAGAATAGTTTTATAATGTTTTTCGGTCCTATTAATCAGTAGCTGACGTCTCGACAAAAAAATAAATTACAAAATTTTGGAAGTTTTTGCAAAAAAGGGCCTACCTACCTATTCCGACTCCATGAAAATCGACAGGATAGTTAATACAGATTACTTTTTGTACAGGTATTGTAAAGAGGCAGTCATTATCGGAATCTGGAGTCTTTGGGCTCTGATTTTAAACACTTGGGGTCAGAACTAACTATTTTAAGCAGCTGCTAACCCACCTAGCGGCCAAAGCTATGCGATAGGTCGTCAAAATTTTCGTGCAAAAAAATTTTTTCAAATAATTTTTTCCGGGTGTGGGAAGGTACCTAGTGTCGTACTTTCCGTGGCAATTCGATCGAAACATTTATTCCGAGGCCGACGGCCCGATTAATCCGCTGAAAGTCCATTTTACCTTCATTTTTCTTACTTAAAATGAAAAGTTTATTAAACAAAAGTGCCCATTAGCAGATAATTTTTATCGCATCGCGTTCTCCGTATTTTATTTGATTTTTCCACCAATTTTCAGCCGGTTTGGAGCTTGTGACCTGACAACCTCTACATGTCAGACAAATGCCAATAACAACAATCCTGTGTAGAAACCAATCGAATGTTCACGCCAAAAGTTTATTTTCACGAGACAAAAGGTACGTAATACGTGAAAGGAGCCGAGGCTCTGACACAATACAATTGCTATTGGATGGTGGTGGGTGTGAAGAGAGAAGGGTTGAGGGGATGGAGAGAAGGCCCAGCATCATCACTTCTTCGCGCCACCGGCATACGTCTTCTTGTAGACGGCCGGCTTCTTGTACTCGATCTTCTTCTTGACCGGCGGCGGCGGAGGGGCAGCAACCGGGGGAGGGGGAGGCGGGGCCGCTTGGCTCGGTGACTGAAAGGAGGTAGTGTAGTGTACTGTAACGTAGTGGCGAGAAATTCAGATTTTCGAGGACGTAATTTGAATAAAAAAAATCTATATACCTTGGGCTTGGCTCCCTTGCCGAACAGCTCGTCGTCGAGGTCGACATCCAGCTCGGCCGGCTTGCCTCCGCCCGATCCGCCGCCCACGTCGACGGGCACGAAGGCGCTCTTGTCAGCCATGGAGTAACGAAATGAAAATGGGCACTTGGCCGAATTCTTTTATACTCAAAATTCTATGCAAGATTGGGGAAATTTCCGGATTTTAATGCTTTTTATGCTAATTAAAAAAAGAGTTATTTAAATTGCACTTTTCCCCATCAATCCGTGGTAAAATAGGATAAATAAAATCTTGTACCTCTAGACCTCTATCATTAATATCTACCTCTTTTATATTCTATTGATATTAAAAATAAGCCTAGTAATTCTTTGTAAAGGAACAGGATACTTTAAAAATACCGAAAATATTGGCGCATTAACGACTATTTATTTCTCTTTCAGGATAACTCAAATCTGTATATGGTGCTGGAGTTCATCAGCGGCGGCGAGATGTTCTCACATTTGCGGCGTATCGGCCGGTTTTCCGAGCCGCACTCCCGGTTCTACGCGGCACAGGTGAGCTCGATCGTTTGCGCCTCAAATTAAATATCATTGATTTTAGTATTGTAATCCTACTATATATAAAAAAAAATAGTGTCTGTGTGTGTGTGTATGACACTTTGCATGCAACTTCCGTCAGCGTGTCCGGAGGATATCTCAAGAGGGACGGGGCGTAAGGAGGTGTTTGATACGTCATTAGATGCGTAATGGGCTGTAGATGACTGCCCACACATCAGATTTTGTAAAATATGTTGCTGTCGACATTAAAATTAAGTTTTTCATAAAAATTCGGCCGCCCACTTTGTTAGGAGAAAATTAGCATACGCCGGAAGTTGCAGTAGCCTATATCGAGGCCCAAAGGGCTCACTTTTCATTTTTTTTGTCATCGGAATTGAGGCACAATTATGCAAAATAAAGAACATCACAGGATTAGACGGGGGCCAGGGTTGAAAAGTCGCGAAGCGGCTTTTCAACACTGGTTAGATATTAAAAAAAATGGCGTTTCATACCTTTATCTAGCTTTTAACATTGAAAAAGAAACCAAAGATTTTAGCATATTTTTCCAGATCGTGCTCGCTTTCGAGTACCTCCACTCGCTCGACCTCATCTACCGAGATTTGAAGCCGGAAAATCTGCTCATCGACTCCACCGGGTATATTAAGGTATGCATATCTTTAATGTTATTAAATTCTTTTTCTATCAGCTTTTTAACGGGGTTAAACGCATTTTCTTGCAGATCACCGATTTCGGTTTCGCGAAGCGGGTGAAGGGCCGTACATGGACATTGTGCGGAACGCCCGAATACCTCGCACCTGAGATCATTTTGTCAAAGGTATCGCATCGTACTTTAATTCTTGATTTTTCTATCCTCACTATAACCTTTAAAAACGTAATTTAAAGTATCATTTTAGTAGCATAAAACCTTTTGCACTTTCTTTTCTAGGGCTACAACAAGGCCGTCGACTGGTGGGCCCTCGGTGTGCTAATCTATGAAATGGCCGCCGGATACCCGCCATTCTTCGCCGATCAACCCATCCAGATCTATGAGAAGATCGTCTCCGGGAAGGTCGGTTTCTACAGATTGTCTATTTAATCTAGATTTAGTATAATTCTATTATTTTAAAAAATGCAAAAATACACATTTTTTCGACGAAAAATCATCGATTCTTGGCCAAAATACCAATTTGAAAAATTTCTAAGCTTTCAAAAACAGTTTTCCCGCTTGAAGCATACGTAACTTTTCAAAAAACCCTATTAAAAAGTTTGCTATTACATTACTAGGCTTTTCTAAACTTACAGGAAGCACCCAAAGCCTTGACTTTGCATTATTAGCTACATTTTTTTTCTTTTCACTATTTATCATCAACATTTCTAGGTGAAATTCCCGTCGCACTTCTCGACCGAGTTGAAAGACCTGCTGAAGAACTTGTTACAAGTCGACTTGACGAAGCGGTTCGGAAACCTAAAGAATGGTGTCGCTGATATCAAGAACCACAAGTGGTTCGGCTCCACCGACTGGATCGCCATCTACCAGCGCCGGGTAGGTCCAAAAACATACTTTAAAACGTTTAATTCGATCGCTAATCTATGGCTAACACTTTTCGGTTTTTCTTCACTTTGCATGAGCATACACGGCTTTATTTTTGTGGTGTGGTGGCGTGGTCGTGATTCGTAATTTTATGGTATTTTTGGTTATAGTAACTTTTTAGAAAGTCTAACTGGTACAGCCTAGCTGGTACTGGTCTGTTAGCGGGGGGGGGGGGGCTTTCTTTGATCTACCTTTCCAGTAAAAAGATGAATTACAGACCAATTGTATGCTTTTCACCCGGTTTTTTTGGCATAAAAAGCTTCTAAAAATTAATACAGTTTTCGAAAAGGTTCATTTTTGTTCAACAATGTCAATTTTCTAAAGATTTTACGACTTTTTGGTAGCGAAAAACAGCCAAAAACACTATACAAAGCCATTCGGGAACAAAATTCTAGTAAAAACGACAAAAACATCACGCCATAAAAAACACATAAAAATTTTTCAAACTTGCCAAGTGAGCTGTCCACAAAAATTATAATTCTTTGCTCGAAATTCGAATTTATACCAGACTTATCCTATTTTACTTTTAAAAACACCTCCAACCTGTTATGCCCACTTGGCAAACCTCTCGCATGGTGTGTCTCTCTCCGGCTAACAAGTTTCCCCTTGGGTGCAGATTCAACCGTCATCGTTCGCCAAACAAGAGCAGGGCCGTCTCTTCGCCGCCCTCTACCCAAAAATCGAGGGCCCAGCCGACACCCGGCATTTTGTCGAGGAGACCAAGGAAGAACCGCTCTCCGTCTCGGCCGTCCCGCTCGAAGTCGACACCTTCGCCGAGTTCTAGGCACAATTTCTGGTATTTTATGCACATTTTTCATTTCTTTCTGCGCTATGCACGTAGTGTGGTGGCAACTTTTTGGTTTGCTTGCGTTGTAACATGCATTAACAATTTTTTTAATTCTGCGCTGTTGGTGGCATGTAGTGGTGCGTTGTTTTAGTAAAACTAGATTAGCAAATTTCGTAGGGCTCGAACGGTGATATTTGGTTAGGAAATTTGTATAGTAATAAACGTTAAGTTAAACTATGTAAATACGTTAAATCTCTTTAAAAATGGGTAATAATATCTCGTAATTAGTTATATGAGGTATTGGAATCATACTTTACAGGTAAAATAATTTAGTTTAGGATATAAATCCTTATCAAAATTTTATTTTCAAGTGCACAAAATCTAAATCAATCAAATTCGTTTAAATAAAGTTGGTATCATAATAAACGTTAAGTTAAATTATGTAAAACTATGTAGCACGAAATCGTAGTTAGTTGTATAATGTATCAGAGCGTACTTTATAAGAAAACGAGTTAGTTTTGCGGGGCTAAATTCTTATAAAATCGTGAGAACCGTGCGAAATTTCCTAATTTTCAACTGAGCACTTTTCAATGCGCTTTTTTCGCAAATATTTTGGAGCGGTGAAAACATAAACAATACCATAATAGTAACAACAAATTAAAACTAATAAAACTATGAATTTCCAGGTGGAAGCCCCATTCCTGCCAAGGTGTCGCGGCCCCGGCGACGCGTCCAACTTTGACGACTACGAGGAGGAGCCGCTGCGCATTTCCGGCACCGAGAAATGCGCCAAGGAATTCCAAGAATTCTAGAAATCTATCTATCTCCGTCCCCACAGCCCTCATTCTCGCCACAATCATGCTTGCCCCGAAAATTATCTACAGCCCCTATATTTTTTCTTCTGTCCCGGTAGCCCGAAAGACTGTGTATACACGCCGCCCCCGTGCAAATTATCTCCCCCCAACTTTTAATTTAACTTATGCATGGTAATGAAGCCAGCAGCACGCGATCCTCTTGCCACACTTTTTCTCACCACGCCCCCGCCGGAAGTTAACGGAAAAAATTGTAGTCGCCTAAATTTTCCTAGTCTCTCGATTAGAAGCGTTATCGGGGTTTTGAATATATCCCGGTATGCCTCTAGTCATCCCCCAGCCGATTCTGAGAATTCGGGCCTGAAAAGAGGATATTGATTATGCTTAAAGGGACCGGCAAGGCAGAAATATGTTTTTGCAAGGATTTTTTTATGGATTTTAGCTCACAAAACACGCGGCGTTTCATTGCGTAACCGATTACGCCCAAGAGTTAGCGGCGTACGCGTCGCGTAACGCGGGTGCGGTGAGATCTATGGGGAAGCAATAGCTAAGAAAATTTGGCTATGGATCTCTTACGATATTGCGTTACGTTACGTTAGGCAACGCAGACGCTATTCCAATTCGTGCGTCGCGTGTAGCGGTGCGTTAAAATCTATAGCGAATCAACCGCTAAAAAATCCGTATAAATACCTTGCCCGTCCCTTTAACCCCGAAAACAAAGAAAGGCCAACCCTACGCCAGGATCCTATTGCCAAAGACCCAGGTCAACAGGACGGTGTCATTTAGCAGAAAGCAGTCGAATTTTAGAAAGACACCTCCTCCTTCTCCCTCTCCCTCCCCAGCAAAAGACCCCACGATTACTCAGGCTAGTCTAGTCACCCCGGTCATCAACATCCCCCACCCCCACCCACCCACCGACTCGAACAACAAATCAAAAAATTTCTAAAAGCACACGTTGAACGTCTCCGTCTAGTTGGGCACACGCAGGAGATGAAGCCATAATTATCGTCTCTGGCCCGGCCGCTTAGTTCTCTGATATGTCAGTCCACTCTCCCTTTCCCACCCCCCTATTTCTTTTGTTGTACGATACGGATGCTAACGAGACATCGGTGTGTGTCAATTAATTCTGTGTGTGTATTCGGTAATTTGAGAAATTTCTAGCCCTCTGCGCCCAGTGTCTCCACCCCGTTTTTGTCTATACACTCCCTGGAATACAGTGCTCCTCCGTACACGTCAGATTTCTTTTTTACCCCTACACACTCACATCTCCCATTCTAATCATTCGCACAGTGGACCCGAGTGTTTCCTGTCCTCCCTCCATCTCCCCCCTCCCCCAATATTTGAAGACAGTCTCGTATTAAATTTTTTTGGTAAGGATGTTCCCGTTGTCTGGAGGAATGATAGCTTTAATTGCTGGAGAAATCGTATGGATAATAAATATTAAATGTATGTCGGTGTTTTGAAAATGCACATTAAATTCAAATACCGCAGTATCAATATGTTACATTTATTAAGCCGTTAAAAATCCCGAACCTAACTACACAAATTGAAAAAAATTATCCTCCTCGCCAGTTGTCGACCAAGAAATTCCGCCAGTGTTTAATCTAAAAATAACAGCTTTATGGCTCTTTTAGAAATTACCGTAATATCGTATCCATTAGCCGTCACCTCGTAGTCGACGACTTCAGCACGGTCAACCTATTTTTAGTGGTCAATTATAAAAAAACTAATTACCAGTGCAAGGGCGCTATTCTCGTCGTGTGCTTTGCCCCAAATGTCGACGATATCACCTTTTTGTACCTAGACAAAAATACGTAAATTTTAAAGCTAGAAGTCTCACATTGTAAGACTTCTTCGTCACGGAATCCTCGTTGACGCGTACCTTCCCGGTCATGATTAGCTTCTCGACTTGGCTGAAAAATCACATAAAAAATTTGGAAAACTAACTCACGAGCTGCTCTTCCCGCTCGTCCGGTTCACCAGCGTGTCGAGTCGTCGGGTACCGGGCTAAATTAAGATAATGCTAAAATAGATCAATTCTCACCTTGATGACCTTCAGCTTATAATCCTTTGGTAGGCCATCCTCATCATATTCTACCCGAGCGGCCAATAGGCTTGTTGTCGCAATGGAACGCTGCGCAGGAAGTTGGCAGCATTTCTAAAAAACAATCACCCCACTAAAAATCGAAATTACCAATCTTTCGAGTATCCCAGGCGCTCCAAACAGGCGTGTACCGCTTCTTATAGCTTGCATGGGCTAAATCGGCTATAAAAACCCTCGAAATTTTGAAAAATATTAAAGCCACCAACTCAACGGCTATTTTAAAAACACGATAAACAAAAAAAAGTTTATTAACTTCGAACCCGCAATTCCACAAGTAATCACAAACTAGAAATTTTCAACAAGGAATATATGACACAAGCGATTTATCGGAATATTTCTTCATGTGGAGGATGACCTCGACTGCTTCACCGGCAGATAACTTGGATTTGGTCTCTTCAGAAAGGCCTAAATCACTATTTAACCTTACTCAGAAAGCGCCCTACCGTTTGGTATAGCTATTCGAGCTTTCCCTCCCTTGCCAAACGAATGCTCGATGACGCCATGCTAAAATTAACTGTTTGTAAGTTCTACTGAATGCTAGACCTCTCCAGTCGACAAAATCACTTTCATTCGCTCGAAAATTTCGATGCGGCTCTCCTTCTTGAATAGATCTTTGCAAATTAGAGATCTGGAAGAAATTTACAATCAAGGTTTCCCGAATTTACCTATCATTTTCGACTCTTTCGACAAGTCCTCGGCGTTCTTTTCTTTTGAACTGTTTGAGATTTGTGCAATCGCCATCCTTGAATCTTCCGTGGAATGGGAATCTATAAAACTACCCTTGGTATCTCAAAATTATATACCTGCACCCTTTTCCTTGGTGTTCCAATTTGGACGCTACGTAGAAATCGTCCGTTCTTCCATAAACTGGTTTTGCAAATCTCAGCTGCACCAAGCAATCTGCTGACGACTCGGGCATTATCTCGTATTCGCTCTAAAAAACAATAATATAATACTCAACTTTTCTAATAACTACCTCCACTTCCTTCAAAAAGCTACAATCGGCCATGACGATATCGAAACCAGTGGATACGTGCAGCTTTCGACCGCTGGGAATGGTCCCTAAAAGGCCTTTTGCCAGCCAAAATATGGTACCTTTGTAAAAGGACACCGGATTTACCGTGGCCAGACATTCACGCAGTGGCTTCAGGGCCGAGGGAGCAGAGATTAGTGCTCGATCAAAGGAGCCGGAGGGGAGATTGACTAAGACGGCTCCACGTTCACCTGCAGAAATCTAAGAGCATCTATAAGCGCTTGAGAGTTGCCACACCTTCTCAACATCTTCTTTCCATGATTGAATTCCTTTGACTTTGCACTTTTCTCGCAGCATGGGAATTTCGATTTCAGAATTCAGCCTAAAATGGGTTATCGGTGGAAGATTCCGGCTTACTTCAATGTGCCTTCTAGAACTGTTCCAGTAAGGACAGTGCCTTTGCCTTTCACCGGAAAGCAATGGTCGATAGCCATCATAAATGGCGATGTTGTATTCCTTTCTGGGGTGTACAGCATTTTGCGCAAGGCTGATGAGATAGCTTCAAGTGCTGTCTAAAACAAAAATGGCTTAAAAAATTCAAATTACTGTTGGATCGTTCAAGACGCTACACGACACAATCGGCGAATCTTCTGGGATGTCGATCGCCTTCAGCGCTTTGCGTATCCGCTTTGAGATGGCAGGAAGCTAAAATATTTGCTTTTGATGTCGGAATCTTGACAAACCTCATCGGCTGACACTAAATCAGTCTTGTTCAGTACTATCAAGACATGTGTTGGGCAGAATAACGAGGCGAGGAGCAGATGCTCGGCGGTTTGTTGCTCGATTCCATGCGAGGCGTCAACAACGACAATTGCCATATCAAATACCTATGTAATAACGGAATTCTATGAGAGTCAACGAAATACCGTACTAGCCGCCAGCACGGATCTGATTAGAGAAGAGTGGCCTGGACAATCAATTAGTGCTAGCCGCTTATCGTCAATTGCTATGGAGGAAAAGCTAAATGAATAGAATCCCAGTTATATCATTAAAAATTACCCCAAATCAATCGTGTTATGCCGTCCCAGCTTCTCGGAATGTTTGTCAAATGCATTCGTCGAGGCTAACGTTGCAATGGCTCTTGTAAGGCTCGTTTTCCCAGCATCAACATGCCCAAGTATGCCCACATTCAAACTGTTCATACTAAAAATGAAATTTATGTCAACCACGGCTTGCATACTTTCAAATAATACTCGAGCATACGTCTTTATATAGGTGTAGTTCCTTCTATCAACGATTTATATCCCAAAAAATGTCAAAAACCATGCAAGGTGCGCGGCAAAAAAATCATATCACAGAAAAATACTATATTCGAGAATATTAGGAATGGAAAGTCAACAACAAGTTCTAGTCAAAAAGAGAGCAAATAAGAAAAAAATTGGGAAAACACACACAGTGGGGGTTTGGGGGGAATGCAAGAATGGCGCTAGCAGGAGGGGCCCGGTTGTTTTCTTTATTTCTTGGCGAATCCTTGCGGGTTCTGCGATTGCCAGTTCCACAGATCACGACACATTTCTTCCAAGCCGAACTGCGCCTTCCAGCCCAGCTTTTGCTCGGCGAGCGCCGGGTCGCAGTAGACCTAGGAAAAAGATATATTTTATTTTTAAAACAAACCGATGCGATATCGCCGGGTCTGGGTTCGCCTTCTTTCGTGGGGATCTTCCTACCGCTGGCCTTTTCTAGAGCGGCAACCATCTCGAGGACGGAGTAACCGCGGCCAGTCCCGAGGTTGAAGATTTCGGTGCCTACATGCCCTGAAAATTTAGTCTGTAAATGGCGTTATAAAAGCTTACAAACCTTCTTTCTTGATCCGATCTAGAGCCTTCACGTGGCCCTTCGCCAAGTCGACAATGTGAATGTAGTCTCTAACGCCCGTACCATCAGGAGTTGCCCACTTTGTCCCGAAAATCGAGACCGCCGGCAGCCGCCCAATGGCCACCTAAAAATTCCAAAATTCTTTCCAAAAATAATCACTCTACCTGCGAAACAAATGGCATCAAATTGTTTGGGATTCCCTGCGGGTCTTCGCCGATTTTTCCGGAAGGATGCGCGCCGACGGGGTTGAAGTAGCGCAGGATAACAATATTCCAGTCCTAAACCTTCGATTAAACTTCCTACAATCGATTAACCTTATGTGCTTTGCCGACATCAATCAAAATCTGTTCCATCATGTATTTCGTCTGGCCATAAGGATTGGTGATGCCAACTCCTAAATTTGAACTTAGGACCCGAGTAGCATCAAAACCTGTCTGATCCGTCTCGGTGATCGGCAATTTTGCTGGAGGCCCATAAACTGTTGCAGAGGAAGAGAAGACAAAGTTCTTCACTCCATATTTTTGGCACATCTAGATTGGATTGCGACAAACCAAGATATTGAAACCTGAATCAAGTTGAGACTTGCGACGAGGTTATTCTGGTAGTACTCAAAGGGCTTTGCAGAGGACTCGCCGACCGATTTCAAGGCGGCCAAGTGGATGAGCCCGTCAAATTTGTGCTAAAAATAAATGTAAAATATTCGCAGAAATCAAACCTGAGAAAAAATTCTGTCGAGAGCCGCAACGTCGCACACATCGGCCTTCTCAAAGGCAATCTTCTTCCCGGTCAGCTCCTCGACGCGTTTTAGTGACAGGGCATTTCCTGATTCGTCTAATAAGGCCCGTCATTGTACTTTACTTTTACGGTAACAGTAATATAATTTCGTACCTGAGATTGAGTTACTGAAGTTGTCGATGCAGTAGACTTCATAGCCGGCCTCAATCAGCTCGAGGACGGTGTGACTGCCAATGAAGCCCGCGGCTCCGGTGACGAGGACGAGCATCTTGGCTGAAAAAAGCGAATTGTCAGTAGAGGGAAGCAAAGCGCAAAATTTAGAACATTTATAGCAACTGGGGAGAGAATAGCACAAGTTTCTATTTGTCCTTGGTGGGCGGAGACGCATTTTTTTTGTCAGTGACGCGGGGGTGGGGTCAGCCGGGGGTCAGGCGATCCTGGGCACCTTTTTATAACAGCTGCTATCGCGGGTAAGACTGACGACACCTTTTTTACAAAATAAGTGTCTTAGTTTTCGGCGCGCAAATAGACATTTTGACCCTTTTGCATTTCCGTGGTGGACCCGATTTTTTGCTAGATGTCCAGATAGGTAAGTGGAAAACTAGTTACAAAATCTGAAAAACGGTTTAAAATCTTCATAGCAAGTATCACGATAGTGTTGTTTGTAAAATTTATCCTAGTTGAAGCGGCAAACCATCTAAAAAACTCTAAAATTGCTTAAAACTTTAAAGTTTGATCGAAATCGAGATTTGGAGCAATTGATGTTTGGGGGGGCATCTTTTTTTGGGGGCTTTTTCTGGCCTAAGCTTGTCTCAAAGCCTAAGCTAACCAAGCCAAGCCCAGCCTAAGCCAAACCTAAGCCGAGCCTAGGCTTAAGCCCAAGTCTAAGCTAATCCTAAGCTAGCTCTAGGCTAAGTCTAAGCTAAGGCTAGGCGAAACCTAATGTAAGCCTACACTAAGCCTACTCGGTTAGTAAAGCGCCCGCGGGCGCGCCCGAAATTGCGCCCGCGGGCGCGCTCACGGGCGCAATGGCCAAAAGCGCCCGCGGGCGCGCCCGAAACTCGAAAGCGCCCGCGGGCGCGCCCCAATCGCGTTGTAACGGCGTAGGACGGGTTCTTTTAATGCTTTTATTATTTAAAAAAGGGCACTACATCGCTTTTGACGATGCTGTACCCAAAACTTAATGTAGATCTTCACGTTCCCTGAGAAATTGTGGTGCTAATGCAGTTAGGGGGGGGGCAGTCCGAAATTGGTAGGAAGGGGCTACGAGGCGCTCTGCTTAAGCTACTTGTTTTTCGGCTTAAGCATAGGCTTAACTTTGCTTTAACTATGCTTGTCTTCGGCTTAGACTTAAGCTTAAGCTCAAGCTAAGCTTATCTTGAGCTTTAAATTGACTTACGAGGTCAAAATGAGGTCATTTAGGGCTTAGACTGAAGCTAAGCTTAGCTTGGCTTAAGCTAAGCTTAGGCTTCGTTGGTATGAAGCTAAGCCTAGGCATATGCTTAGCTTAGCTTTTCCAGAGGCTTCGAGTTTAAAAAACGGCATTTGGAGCATCTTGTAGTCAAAATCCGGACTGCCCCCCAAGTGCATTAGCACCGAAATTGTTTGTACTGCGCCTGAAATATGTTTTTTTTTTGCTTTCTTGGCTTTAGCTTCGTTTGGAACTTACAGATACGTTCGAATGCGCGATAGACGGCCCCTAAAAGTGCAGCTAATTACCTAATTTCCTTTATAAACTTCGTAATTCGCACTTACTTTGTTCCCGCTTCCTGAAAACTAGCTTTGATTTGCTTCTTGCCGACTTACTTTGCAACTCCGCCCCAGAGATACCGAAAACGTCGCGCTTCGCATTGCAATGATGACCATGACCGTCTGAAAGGTTGGCTTCTATAAATCGAGAATCTATAAATCTAAATCTGAAGTTTTTTTTAAGGGACTGGTTGCGTAGCAAAACTTTACCTTCTTTACCTGCGCCATGGCGCTTCAAAGTATCGTATTCTACATTCGACGACCATAACCAAGCGAACCTAGTAACTTATTTGTTAATTTATATATGTTTTCAACATAAATAAGTGCATAATCCAGGAACTTAGCCGTTTTTTTTTGCAGAATTGAAAGGTGTTCACCATCCAAATGCGCCCGCGGGCGCGCCCCTAGTTGCGCCCATGGGCGCTTTTTCCGCCCGGGGCGGTTTTGCGCCCTTTTGCAAAAATTTCGCCCGGGGCACAAAATGGTCCAGTTCGGGCGCGCTCGCGGGCGCTTTGGGTTTTCGGGCGCGCCCGCGGGCGCTTTGCTAACCGAGTAAGCTAAGCCAAAACCAAACCTAGGCTTAAGCTAAGCTTAAGCCTAAGCCAAGCCTAGGCATAAGCTAAGTCTAAGCCAAGCGTACGCAAAGTTGAAGCTAAGCCTAAGCTTAGACCCAGGCCACCAAAAAAAATGCCCCCCCCAAACATCAATAGCTCCCGAGATTTTGTTTTTCAGGTCTTTTTCGTTTCGTAACTTTTTACGTTTAGGAACCTCTGTTTCGAGTGGCGCGGCTGCCAGCACACCTTCGGCACGGCTGCCGAATGTCGCGCCGGGCAGCCGTGCCGTGGCACGCCTGCCGGCACGCCGCGCCGGCAACTGGGCCGAAAATGGCTGTGGCACGGCTGCCGGCACACCATACGCTTATTTTTCGGTATATAAATATAGCATTGCTTATTTATTATTGCGTTTAAGTTGTGGTTGAAGCATAACGCCGTGACCGTCGCGTAGTTGAAACGGAAGCCGCAGTAATAACTAAATTAGTTGGTTTCTTTGGTTTTCTATTGTTCATAAATCGGAGCCAATCTTTTTCATGGTGAACTTACGATTAAACGTTGACGATAGACGTGCCGAGCATCTTGTAGTGTCGGTTGAGTACCTAGATTCTATTCAAGGATTGTTCAAGCAGTTCAAAACGACTTACTTTCTTCTTGCAGTCTCTGCAGTTTGTCTAGTGGATCCCTCAACATTGAAAAACTCATTCTAGCGTCAGAAAAGCGCCACTTCGGATTCAGCGCCTAAAAAAATGGTAAATTATACCCACCAAACAATCATTGTTTGTAACATGGGGCAAATGTCCACATTTTCAATGTAAATAAGTTACTGGACAGGATTGCCGATCGAAAAGCTTCTATCTAAACTCGATTAGCTTGATTAGCAATGTACCTGCTAAATATCATCAATCCAGTCAGTTCTTCGACCATGAAGCATGCTGATAGACTTTTCTTGCCTCATAATTGTGATCTAAAAGTTTCACCTGAAATCTCGAGCGTATAACAAACAAGTTGTACCTATTAGTAAACAAAAAACCGCGTAGCTGATGGCGTAGTACCTATTCCTTCTTGGATATGACATAAATGCGGCAATATAATAAGTCTTGAGAATTATTATGACAAAAACAAAACTTAGCGCGAGGTCGAAATTTTTCTAAGTTATGGCGCGTTGCGGCTCAGCGACAGTGGTCTGCCGGGCAGCCGTGCCGTGCAGCTGTGCCGGCAGCCGCGCCAAATACCGTGCCGGCAGCCGTGCCGAATTTGGCCTCCCGGACCCCGTCCGAGCTGCGCCGGCAACCGTGCCGAAAGCTGGCCCGGCAGCCGCGCCGAATTTTAGTTCGCCGGCAACCGTGCCATCGTGCCGGCAGCCGTGCCAGAGGGCGTTACCGCGCCGGCAGGCCGCGCCACTCGAAACAGAGACAGTACAAAATCTGTTTAAAACGGCTTTCACTATTCATATTAGCAGAATTAGATCCTAACGAAAAAATCGGAACGAAAGACTATAGAAATCAAACAACGGAAATCTCGGCAAAATTTGAAGCCAACGAAATTGAAGTGCTGGCCAGAAACTTGTGCAAACATTTCCGGCGGCCACCGCCCGCTATATCGGCGTGGCAACTGAGGGAACGCCACGTGAAACACCAATACCCTGCAGCTGTGGATTAGTTTTTGGGGGGCGAGCCAAAAGACATTGGTCGCAACAGAGCAGCGAACCACACGATTGCATGCAATGGATTTTGACCTCTGTATAGTTATTGGAAAGCCAGCAATCCCGCATGATGAAATTGGAAACAGCTTTTCCAGGGGGGCAAGCACTTTATTCAGCCGTTGACAACAAGGCGGCGAGAGTGGGTGAGATTGGGGGGCGGAGATAGACATCAGGAAAAGCCCCCGCCGCCGGCCCAGGATGGATCCAGCTGGATGGTGAAAGGGAAAACGGCTCGAAGGAAAACGACGATCCTTGTGGGAAGCACAACGCTCGAACCCGGGGTAAATATCTGTCAAAGTTAATTCAATTCCAACTATGTATATAGTGTTAGTGGGGGAATCGCGTTATAGCGTCTTGCTCCATCCGATGGCCGATGCGATTAGGGAGAAGCTGGCCTGTTGTCGTGTTGAAAATTTGCCCGACCACAGGAAGCCCTTGTGGGGCAACATATTGACGGCGGATAGCCCATCGCAAACAAGGCCCACCTGAAACGGATAGTGGTAGATTTCTTCGTTTTTCTTGTCGATTCCTGTTTTTTTTACATTCCTAACCTACCAATGTCCACAGCTCGTCTCGCCCCTTCTCGAGCCCCTTTTTACAAACTTCTCGGATCTAGACAGGTTATATGAACGCGCTGTTTTATAGTCCCTACCTGCTTCAAGACGCCGGCTACAATGGCAATCAGCCAGAGATATAGACAATACCGGAAGAGCCGTACCGAATCGTAAGCTAACACCTGAAAAAGCTTTTCAGCTTTTTTTCGCTGCTTACCTTTGCGTCTGAAAGCCAGGCTAACAATTCCACGCCCCAGTAGATGGTATATGCGACGGTAATGGTGCTCACGCAAGTAAAATCAAATCTAAAAAGGCGCGTGATGGGTAGCCTCGAGTCTTCGCTAAAGTTCTGTTGAAGCCAAACTCACTTGTCCAAAATCCTTGATAAACCGGGTAACGTGCTCAGCGCTTTGAGTTGTGACGGTCCATTGAATTGCCGGAGCACCATTCTGGTGGTTGACAATTGTTTTGCAATTACCTAAAAGTAAGCATAATCAAAACAGTCAGATGAACCTACCATCCATTCTTTACTCTTCGCACTCTTCTGGGCATGCAGCTGTATCAGAAAATATAGCGTTCGGATAGCCTAAAGAAACACAGATTGATGAACAAGAATAAATACCTTGTCTCTACCAGCATAGGAACCAAGCGACTTCAAAAGTGCATCTACAGTTGGTAGCTCCACCGGGCGAGCCATTTTTGTCGAGATCCAGAGGAACAGACAGTGGTGTCGCTATCCTAATATGCCTTTCTCACGAGACTACACCCCGAGTACGCAATCAAACTACAGCGCGACTTCTCTTTTCTCATTCCCCCACCTGTGATAAGGGGCGCATGAAACCTCAAAGTAGAATTTTATGACATTTTTAACAAAAAACAAGTTCAACAATCGATCGCACGACTACAACAACGGAATTCATGGGGATAACCAGCGGGAATTGGCGCATCAATATCGAAATGTGGAATTGGGGATCAAGAAGTTACAACATGCTCTCGATGAGCGTATCCCTGAGTTGGTTGTTGATGGCGGCGGGTACTTGATCGTCCAGCTTGAAGATAGATTCGATGACGGAGAGTTCTGTTGAAGTCGTATCCAGTCCTGGAATGAAAATAATAAATAAGGATCTCAGAGCTATCAATTTACCTGTGAATGCAATCCAGTCGTTCACACACATGCCGCCTCCAATCAGCTCACTACCACGGTTGACGGTCCCGGCAACTACCGGAATCTACAGCCGCTTTATAATGTTTGTTTTTAAAAAGTACCTGAAGAAGAGCTGCCAACTCCCTTTGGGTCTCTGGGGGTGTCCGCGCAGCTACAAGGCATCCTTGAGAAGACAATGCGCAGTAGCTTCCAACCTAAAAATAGAGCGTTCCTCAAAAATAAAAAGAAGCTTACCAACGAATTCTGACCCAGCGCTACTCGGAAAACTTCAACCTTCAGAACCTCGTGCAGGGCCTAAACTTTTTTGATCAAAATAAATCCAGCACAAACCTTCTCGGTTTCTTCACTGATCTCTGCGTGGACGATGGCGACATGATCATTGCAGGCGATAACATTTCCCAACGCTGACAATCGCTCGTCGACCCGTCGAATTTTGATCTGAATACCGAGTTTTAGACATGCCAGAATAACTACCTGTTCGGGGAGAGCGTTACGGATATGCTGCAGTTCCTGGTCGGTCGTTGAGTTTGGCACTAGCAATCCGTGTCTAAAATTACATAATCCACCTAACACTTGCTCGCTACCTGTTTCCGACCGTCAGTCTGCCAACAATACGTGTTCCAGAGATGGAGGTGTGGACGACGGGGATCACATCGGAGAGCTCGGCCTCGATAATACTGGAAAAAGCGAATAAAGATAAATAGAAAAGTGATACCTGTAGAAATTCTGCGTTCCACCGATTCCGACCAAGCAATAGCTGTTCGTCAGTTTGGTGAAGACGCCAACTTCATTATTTCCTTCGTAATCGACACGCAAAGCCATTCTGTCTGCAAATAGATAAAATTAAAACGAAAAGCGAGCGTCAAACGGATTTTCGGAAGATGGATGTATTGAACAAAAAACTGAGAAAGAGCGTATTTCAAAGAAGGTTGCATTTCGAATTAGCCTTGAGTTTTTCAAGGCCCTAAAATGAAGTTCCAGCTACGTTAGGGGACATTCTGGGCCCGAATATCCATCCGATTTTTATAAAAAAAGACTAAAAAGCGGGAAAACGATGAATAGCGGCTGAATAGCACTAAGTACAAATTTTCAATAGTTATCGGGTTATCTTAAAACTAATTTTCTCCATGGCCTATTTTTGTCTGAAATTTCCGGCAGATTCATGAAATACTAAATGGAAAATTCCAAAAAGAGAAATAGTACATGAAGGGGCACTAATTCGACAAATTTTAACCCTTAGCGGGTTCTCCGGCAATTTTTGAGCTTTATTGGGTCTATTTTTGGTGCGCCGGCCATACAAATCCACACAATACTAAATCCATAATTCTAGAAAGTAATAAATAATGTACGAAGACGAATAATTAGAAACATTTCAACCTTTACCGGTTTTTCCAAAGATTTTTCAAGCTTGCGCAATAATCACAGACTTTCCGGGGTGGGCGTGACGGCGTTGCGTGTATCGCAGCGTAGCTCGCGTGTTTATGTGACATGTTCCGTTCCCCGGCCACAACGAAAAGCGGAAAAGGGAGAAGCCCTCAAAAGAAGATACCCCCTCGGCCACGCTTCCTATCTTGAACCGTTTTTTTCGTCTTTCGAGTGATTTTTCTGTCAATCAATCGCATCTTGTGCTTATAGGCATGCCTAGACAACGGTGAAAAGAGGAACACCAAGTGGGAACGCCTCATTGACGCCGGATAGGCCATGCTCGTCCGTATTCTGCTCATCGCCCTTCTCTATTATCCACTTTCGATTGGGCTCACATTTTATCAGAAGTGGCTGTTGAAGGTTTGTGGCGTTACGTTCGTTTTTGCGTGAAAAATTCGGTTCTACTTAGTATCGGCAGCTGGAAATGTCGCGCGGTTCGCATGGTAGCCTTTGTTATGTAGGCATTATAAGAATTAATCCAAAATATGTATTAATACATCTTAATCAGCCTTATAAGGCATCAAAACATACTTTTAAATAGGACGCGTTAGCTTAGCCTAAAGAATTATAACTTTGTGCATTATTACCTTTAACCATTATTAGAGCCATTCGTATGAGGACGATGAGGACGGCATCTGTTGAACCCCCCTTGGGGAGGGGGGGTTCAACAGGTCCCAGCGCGACCGGCGGCGAGGGGCGCCCAGGGGAGAGGCGCAGAGACATTTTCTTTCCCGCGCGTAATCGATTGTCTTATGCCGCCCCTATCTCTTTAACGAATCCCTTTTCAGAACTACAAGCTTCCCCTAACTGTCGTCTGCGGCCATTACATTATCAAATGGGGAGCGGCTATATTTATCCGATTTCTTCTTGAACTTTGCGGCCCGCCACGGATACGACTTTCGTGGAAGGAGCAGGTATTTGACTGAAAATCCGAGCGTATGAGCATCTTCTTAGGTCCGATGGCTGGCCCCGATTGGCGTTTGTGCGTCTCTTGACATTGGACTGTCGAACTGGGCCCTTGAATATGTCACCGTCAGCCTTTACACCATGGCAAAATCAAGCGGGATTCTGTTCATCGTTGCGTTCTCTTTATTGTTGAGGCTGGAAAAGTGAGTTTTGCTCGTGTATTGCTTTTAAGGTGATATTTTTAGATGGCGAATTTCCCTCGGCATGGAAACAGCTTTGATCGCGGCCGGGTTGTTCTTATTTACATGGCGATCCTCGCAGCTTGATCTTACCGGTACTATACCACGAATCATGAAGAATTTCACGCCTTTTTCAGGTCTTATGCTAGTCGAGCTCGCCGCGGCTTGTACGGGTATTCGATGGAGCGTTTCACAGCTTGTCATGCAAAAGTACGTGGTTTGGGCGATATTTCCGGAAATGTTGACTCTGCAAACACGCGGAATTTGATTGCTTTTTAGGGACGACAGCCATGCGATCAGAAATCCGCTCGATATGGTGGCCCATGTGCAGCCGTGGATGTTGATCCCCATTATACCGTTGATTTTGATTTTTGAAAGTAATTTACAGGATCGAGAATTTTCTAAATGCCTTTAGGTCCAACGTACGCTGAAATTGATCCACTGACGTATCAAGGGGAATTCGCGCCACTGACCGTCATTTCATTGGTGTTTATCGGCGGGATAATAGCTTTTTCGATGGAATTAGCAGGTGAGAGGGATTGCGTTATACCAAAGTCTTTTTAGAGTATTTATTACTGGTTAACACCTCCGGGGTGACGCTCAACATTTTTGGAATTATCAAGGTAAGCTTACAAGCGTTTTTAAAAAAATGGGACTTACCCTAGTTTGTGTAGAATTCGCTGCTTACATATTCGTTTAGAAAAATGGCAAAATACCCGGGTTGAAAGGGTTACCACACTTTTTTGTTGCGGGAAATCCAGGGTTTTACGCTCTTCTAAAAACCTTGGGCCTGGAAACGATGCTCTTTCTAATGAGCTAACTCACCAATTTGTAGCTAAAAAATTTCAAATTCATCAAAAAAAAAATTTCAGGAATTTTTTATAATAATCTAGATAAATTCGTAAAAAAATCGATTTCAATTTTCAATGTATCTTTCCACTTCCAGGAAATCTTCACGCTCTTGCTGGCCCACTTTGCCCACGGCGACCAGATGTCTGAGGTCAACCTGGTGGGGCTAATGATGTGCCTGTGCGGCGTCGGTCTTCACGGGATGAATAGGCACCGGTATGTTCGTATATTGGCATTTCCGCTGCCTGGCTCTTCCCCCCACCTGCTCGCCGCCATTCTCCCATTGTTAAATGCCCGCGGCTTGGTAATGTCGTTGCGGCTGGGTCGGTGTTGTTTTTTGAAGTGTGCGTTACGACTGGGAATGTGGCAGGTGTAGAGTCGGCAAATATATTGTAGAAATGTTGTGGTATGGATTTAGAGGAGCTTGAAATTCAATAGGACCCGTTGGAAAGTAAAAAAAAAACAGGTTCTGAATGATTATCGGGCGGCCAAAATTTGTTTGATCTAAATCTTGCCCTGCGCAAAATAACTAAATGAAAACTACAAGAATTTGAGCTTTTTCGAAGTATACAAACGTATTTAGAAACTAAATTCTCACTTTACCGAAAAAAATGGGATAGGAATTAAACGATGCTAAAAACTCCAGAAGTAGGCCTTGAAAGCAAAGGTAAAATTGACTACCTTATTGTTATGCATTTATAGGTGAGGAAAAGATACCTGATTTTGGCCCCAGATAACCATTCACCACCAAAAAAAGCATTAATTAAAAAAACAGACCCAAATTTCCAAAATTTTGTTGCGTTTTTTATTCTGGGTCTCCCTAGCACTCTGCATGAATATCCCCGAGAAACTAACGCCGGGCACTCGGTTTCGGTTTTTCAGCCCCGTCGTCTGGTGGCCATTTATATTTCCGCCCCTTACTAACTTCCAGGGGGTGGCGCTCCCCTCTATCATTTCCTCATTTGCAGCAACGCTATCAAGTTCGAGAAGGGTCGCTTTTCCGCGCTGACCGCCCAGCCGTCGTCGGCCCACCATCGCGTGGCTGCAAGCAAGTGAGAGAGCAAGAGAGCATGAGCACGAGTTGGAGGTGTGCAACATGGAGCCCTGTTTTTCAGTGGGCAAGCATCACCATCGTCTGCGTTGAAGAGTCTTTAGACTACCCCCAAGATCGCACCCCATGCACTTAAGTTTATCAATCCCTCCTGATCTGTGCCGTTTTATTTGGTTAGTGTGGTTTGCGGTTCGATATTAGTGATTTTGGCTTATATTTTGTATTATGAATTACCAAATTGGGTTCTGGTTTATTAGCGGGGGCGGGGCTATCTTTATAGTGTTTTTAATAGTTAGCGACTGCAAAAAAAAGTTGAAAATTTCATTTTTGGTCCATTTTTTTCATTAGAGACATTTTCGAAGAAAGTTGACTTTTTTGGTAAACAATCATCCATTTTTTACCAAATAGCCAACTGCTTCGAAAATGTTTCTAATTTTTTATGAACTTTTTAGATTTGAAATGAGCGTAAACAGCTATGAAGGCAGTTTGCATTTTTATAAAATAGTTCCCCCGCTAACTCACAAGAACCGTGATTTTCCAAGATTTTTTTTTTAAGATGTATTCTATCAAACCAAAATTTCCGCCAGCCTGAATTAATATTGAGCCAACAGCCTTTGAACACGTGTGGTGTATGTGGAAATATTTCATAGAATAGATCGTATTATTGGGCTTCTCCCTCTAACTAGAAATCTGTGCTTCCTCTGCTGTGTACGTGCGCATTCAAAAATTTCCTTAGCTGTGATCACCTGTTTTCTAAAAATCCTCCCTAATATCATCTCCTTTTTTCAGAAACAGCTCTCGACTGGCGGAAAGCAGGGAGCTGGCCCACGGCTCTTCTGGAGATGATCTACGAGGTCTCCTCCTTGAAGACGACGTTTTATAACCCTTTTTCCATTTACTAACCCTCGATTCCCAATATCACTGTGCCATCTTTCACTTCTGTACCCTATCGACTCGACATTTCCCAGTTGTATTCAGAAATCATTTATTCCGGCAAACATTTATTATTACGTTACAGTTACGGTCCCTGCGGGTTCCATTTTTAAGAGGATACTGTAGAGTCCATTTTTATTCTGATTTTTTTGGTTTGGCGGGTACTTGTGCATTATCGGGGGGAAGGGATTTCTATATATGCCTAGTAACGTTTTTGCAAAATTTTTACTCGTTTTTTTTTACTAAAATTGAACTATCAAGTAAAAAATTACCTAAAAACCGTTCAGAATTAAAAAACCTGGTAGCTGCCCCCCGGATAATGCACAAGCACCGGTAATCGACTCTGCCGTAGCCCCTCAGCCTCTAACAAAACGTCTGTGATTTGATAATTGCGGTTGTGTTGTGCGTGTCTCTCTCTG